TATTAATACGGAGGAGATGGATTGTTTAAGTTTAGAGTTTGGAGTTAGAGATATTAATATTTGTTTACTTGTATTTGAATATTAGCCTAGGTTTGGTTTGGGAAGTCCGGGGGGCGGGGGGATGGGATATAACATTGTGTAATATCTGTGATGTATTTCTTTTTTTTTTATGATGAAAACAATAAAAATTTTATATTGGGAAAAAAAAAAAAAGAAACGTTTATTTATCTTATACATTCTTTTTTTAAAAAAGCCCTGGAGACGACCAACCTTTTTACGTGACAGTAAACCCTTTACAGGAATCTGATGGCTTGCCAACCAGTTTTTCACTGGTTGTCTTCCTATCACCCCATGCTATTGCTTCATGACAACCGGAGTCCAGCGAGAACCCTGGGCCATGTTTTGATTATAAGCAGCTATTTGTTTCCAGTAAATATGCTTAAATGAGAGGCTTGTTCACTAATGAACTCTAGTTTAAGTTGATTTTGGATTGGATTCAACTAGAAACAAGGCTCACTAAAACAAAAATGGTAAGTCAAACTTACCTAACTTGCCCTTCACATCTCCTTTGTGAATTGAGGTCAAGACAAGGGGAGATTTTTCACCCACCATTTTAGTGCCAATTCCAGAATACCAGACAATACTTTACAGCTGCTCTTAGCTTATACTGTATATTGCTGCTAAATCATTTATGAAATACCACAAAATACGGCAGTATGAAGTATTACTTTTGAAGATCCCAGCTGCTGTCTGTTGCCATCCTGCACATAGTTTACCTCTCTAATTGAACATATTGGATAGCTCAAATCTGGGGGATTCTCCTCTTTGGCCTTTGTTCCCTATATTTATTATGCTGCTACAAACCTTTGGTATCCTTTGTATTTTTGGGTACATTACAGTTTTGATTAACTAAGCATCAAGAATACACTGGAAATAGAGGGAAGAACAAGATCTTAGGATGAACAAGAACAGGGTCTTAGGATGAAAACCTCCGAGAATCCATATGGGTCAATATAAAAGGAAAAAAGAATGACATTGCTATAGGTGTATACTACAGGCCACCCAACTAAGCAGAAGAAATAGATGAATTCTTTGCTAACCAATTAACAAATGTATGATATCAACTGAGAGACAAGCTCTGCAGCAAGTGGGAGACCGAACAGATTCCTAACCAACTTAGCTGACAACTTTGGCATCCAAAAGGTAGAGGAGGGAACCAGAGGAAAAGCTATTCTGAATCTAATTCTTACTCATAGAGAAGAAGTGATAGAGGGAGTTGAAATTGCCGGAACCTTGGGCGAGAGTGACCGTGTCATATCAGAATTCAATATAATGCAAACATAAGCAATAGAATATAATCCAACCAGTGTCTTAAACTTTAAAAGGGTTGATTTTAACAAACTCAGAGAGAGCCTAAGCAAAATTTCATGGATTAAAAATCCTAAAGGGGAAAACAACTCAAGGAGCGTGGGAAACACTGAAAAATATAATCATAAAAGTCCAGTCCAACACAATACCACTAAAAAAGAAAAACAAGAAATCCAAGAAGAAACCAGCATGGATGCACAAAGATCTATCTGATAAACTGAAAGACAAAAAGGATAAGTACAAAAATTGGAAAGAGGGACACATAATTAAGGCAGAATATCAGCAGATAGCCCGTATTTACAAATATAAAGTCAGGAAAGCAAAGGCTCAGAATGAACAAAGACTTGCAAAAAAAAGTCAAAGATAATTTAAAAAAAAGTTTCTTTCAACATGTAAATAGCAAAAAAAAAAAAAAAAAAGTCAAGGAAACAGTTGGTCCACTCAAGAGAGAAGATGGGAAGGAAGTAACAGGCAGTAGAGAGAAAGCAGAACTGCTTAACTCATTCTTTGCATCAGTCTTCACACAAAAAGAAACTAGCCCAACCTACCAAAAACATAACTGTAAAAGAAAGATTAGAAATCGAAATTAAAATAAGCAAGAAAATGGTAAGAGAACACCTATCTGACCTTGATGAATATAAATTACTGGTACCTGATGAATTACATCCCAGAGTTCTGAAGGAGTTGTCAGATGTTATCTCAGAACCATTGTATCATATCTTTAAAAAAATCTTGGAGCACTGGGGAACTACCAGAGGATTGGAAAAAGGCTGATGTGGTTCCCATCTTCAAAAAAGGGGGGAAAAACCAGACCCAGGAAATTATAGACCAATCAGCCTAACATCAATACCTGGAAAGATACTGGTAAAAATAATAAAAAAACAGATCTGTGAACATTTAGAAACAAAGTTATAATGAATAGCCAGCATAGGTTTGTTAAAAACAGATCATGCCAAACCAATTTTATTTCATTCTTTGACAAAGTGACTAAATTAGTAGACCAGTGAAATGCTGTGGACATAGTATATTTAGACTTCAGCAAGGCATTTGACAAAGTAGACCACATGATAGCAGTATTCCAGTATTTGAAAGGCTGCCACAAGGAGGGGGTCAATTTATTTTCCAAAGCACCAGAAGGCAAGACAAGAAACAATGGATGCAAACTAATCAAGGAATTAGTTGATTCCTGGAATTAAGGAGAAACTTCCTAACAGTGAGGACAATTAACTAGTGGAATAGCTTGCCTTCAGATGTTGTGGGTGTTCCATCACTGGAGGTTTTTAAGAAGAGACTAGACAGTCACTTGTCTGAAATGGTATAGGGTCTCCTGCTTGAAAGAGGGCTGGACTAGAAGACCTGCAAGGCCCCTTCCAGCTCTATTCTGATTGATGATTCTGATTGATCTGTCCTACTGAACAGGCCAAAAAAGCCAGCATTCTATTCTAGAAACCAAATGCCACTTCTGGAAGCTCCCAAACAAGCATAAGAGGATCTTCTTTGCTCCCTCTCTGCTTGGCAGTTAGATATGTTAT